AGTACATGATGTTAAGAAGTGCATATCTACCCTCCCCACACTCAACATGTTAAATGTTTCCAATCTGGACAACACTAATTCATTTTTTATATGAAAATTTGAAAATATTTACACACAAGTCGCGCAAACCATGATGTGCCTGTTGGTCTTGTGCTGCATGGTCAAATGGTAGAACCGGTTTCCGTTTGCAGGCTGAGGGTTAAGCATGATGTATGAAAATGGTCCTTTAAGTCAAAACTAGTATTTATTTTATTTTTTAATTTATTTGATATACACTCACCTTCCCAATCCTTTCTATTCACCAAAAATAACAATCTCTTTGGTGTCTTAATAAATTTCTAGGATTTCTAATATAATTGACAGCTAAGGTTATAAATACACTTCTTTATGATATTATATAGAATGTATTTTTCAGAAAGAACACTCTTACTGTCAGAATAAATGAGTATAGAAATATATAAATGTTGATGGTATCATCTTATTGTAATTGTTTCACAAATAACTAGATTTCTATCTAGTATCTACCTGTGTTGATCGTCTGCTGCTTAAATCACAAACAGATGTTTCAAGGACTTTCAGGATAATATCGTCAGTTTTAATATCTTATCAGAATAAAGTCATTTGTGATTGAAACGTTATTTCAATAAAGTTTAATATTTGCGTAGAAAACAATATACGAGTGTATCATAACATCTTTTCAACGTATAGTCTTATTTCATTTAATAGTTCCCTTGATCATTGTTTATAATAAGAAAGTCTCCTTTACTTAAAACCAAGTTTTTCCGTTCAACGAAATCATATCTCGGGATAAGTAAATCACAACTCTTTTTAAATCACTGATTTGTCCATTCACGTACAAGTTTTTATTTCCATAATCAACATCTGAGCAAAAATTGATTTAATATATCTCGAAATAATCGGCTTCAGTGAAAACGCTTGTTGTAACTTGTATGTGTCTTTCAAATATCATAGTTATTAATTAGAATGCTGGAAAACTTGTTAAAGGGACTCCTATGAGGGTTTTTTTACATAAAGGGACTGTAAATATGTTTCCAGAATAACTATTACAATTGTAACAAATGACCCAAAAATGAAAAGCGTTACAACGCTTTTCACTCGAATCGGGCAAGGAATAGCAGAACAATACTATTGTCATTTTATTTATGAGTATATTTCTTTATTATATTGTTTATATCTTTTTGTTTAAGCACCATAGTAAATCTAGAAAAGAAAATGTAAACTTCTATGTCTTTTGGACCACAGTGGAGTTAAACTGAAACTCAGCTCAACTTTATTAGTCTATCCCCATTTACATATGGATGATAAATAATTTATATTTTACATATTATTAAACATTTATTCATATGAAACACATATTTTTTTAATTTTAATACAGCAATTATAGTCTGTCCCATTCATATGGAAATGAACTTTTGCTTGGTAAAATTTAATAAAACATAGTTGAATAGAAAATAATAGATTTTTATAAACTAAATACAAAGTCACCTCGAGATTTTTCAGGATTTTTCTCTTAACTTTTTACTTGTCTTGTAAAAGTAAAGTTTGATTTCTGTACGCCAACTTAACACTAAACTATAATAACTTTATATTTTACAAATAATACTTATCCTAAAACTGTTGAAACAGCCGCTTACAGAGAAAGAGAAAGAATGAAAAAACACCCAAGAAATCCCGCATAGTCTACTAGTCTGAGACAAGAAACAAAACATTCAGGAACATTTATTAAGGTAGAAAGCACTTCTATTAACAGTTTATCATACACAGCGTTTCTCTCGAGGGGTTTTTATTTTTAATATATTACGACAACAGGCATGTTTGCTGCCGCTTTCTGGTATGAAGCTAATTCATTACTGCAAAAGATATTTTTTATAATCGTAAGCACGTCCAATAGATATACTATTTCAGGGTTATTTTCAAAAGAACAGAAACTGATTATGACGTAAATACCTCGGTTCTGCTTTCTCAGCAAACATAAACAAAATAAGTGAGAAACAAACACAATTATTTTTTCATTTGCTATAAATATTCTACCGCTGTTATTGTTATCTTTTTTCTTTTTGCAAAACATACATAATTTAATAATATCGTTGATAAGATTCTTAACCGTCGCTTTCGAGCAATAATTTTATATCATTTATTAACAAGAGCCACCGCCGAGCGGGGGCAACGCTCGACTTTTTTGCCTTTTCTAAGAGTAAATAAATAAACCTTTTAAACAAACCTTTAAAAAGAAAATTAAAGAAGAAGAAAAGTTTTTCCTTTTCTTGGATTTTAATAGGTCAGGCTATTCACACTTGTTGTTTTGTTCAAATCCTTTCCATAAATAATTGCCAAAGTTAAGAAAATATAATCAAAATTCAATCACTTGAATGTGAAGGTCATTTAAAGGTCAATGTCATATCTAAATTATTCCATATATCTGTTTGGTAACAAGTGTTGTTGTGTCCACATATGAATCAATCCAATCCATACATAAATAACAAAATTATGACAACTTAACCAAAATTCAATACTTTGACCTTGACGATTAATTTCAAGCTCATGTCAAGGTTAGTTCAGCCTTTAAAGATGTCTTGTCCAAAAGGTTGTTTTGTCCAAGGATGAAGATAATCCATTGATAAATCACAAAATTACAGCTAATTACAGCAATAATCAATGAAAATAATATAATTTGACCTTCAAGGACAATGCCATACATGGGTAAAGGTCAATTTGAGTTTGATATATAGGATGTTTCTGACCTAAAGATGATGTGTCTTAATATGAAGTTAATCCATTTATCAATAGCAAAGTTATAGCCATTACAGAAGAAGAAAAACAAGAATATTTCAATAATTTAACCTTTACATTCAATGTCAATAAAAGGTCAAGGTCAGATCTAATTATTCAATGTGTTTGTTTGTTTGTTCAAGTTTAAATCAAATCCGTACATAAATAACAAGATTATGATAACTTAAGCAAAATTCAATTATTTGACCTTGACGGCCAAGGTCATTTAAAGATCAAGATCAGTTTTAAACCTTTTAAAAGGTCTTCATCAAAAGGTTGTGTTGTCAATGTATGAAGATAATTCATTTATTAATTACCAAGTAATAGTCAATAACAGTAAAACTCAGTGAAAATTCAACGATCTAACCTTCAATGTTAAGGTCATAAATGAGACATGGTCAATTTCAATTTGATATACATGAAGGTCTTTTCCTAAAGAATGTTCTGCTATAAAATTAAATCAGTCCATTCAATTGTAACGCAGTTTTAACCAGTTACAGCAAAACAAATGAAAATTTCAATAATTTGACCTTCAAAGTCAATGTCATTTATGTGTGAAGGTCAAGGTCTGTCGCTTTATGTTCAAGTTTTGAAGGCAATCCATTCAAAAACAACAGAGTTTCAGCCACTAATAGCAAAAAATCAGCAAAAAAAACAAACAAAAATTAGACATTTGGCCTTAATGTTAAAGGTCAATTATGAATGAATGTCAAGGTTAGACTGGTCTACTAATAGGTCTTGTCCCTAGGGTTGTTGTGGCCAAGTATGAAGACAATACACCAATAACTTTAAAAAAAAGTTATGATCAAAGTAATAGTTTGTGGGCGGCAACGGCAATGGCATCGGCAACGACAACGCCGAAGTGACTGTAACAACACCATTTTTCTCTTTTTTTTTCTTTTCAAAAAAAAGTCGAGCTAAACATTCAGTCAAACTTTTGAACAACACAGGAGAGCAAAGTTGGCTTCTTTTTTTTCGGAGGAAGATATGGACTGTGAATGACAGCATGTTAATAAATCGATACTTTTACCAAGCATTAAAACAAAACTCAAATTTTGATTAATGACAAGACTGCTGATTTCTTTTGCAGCATTTGTAAGAGCAAGGTGTAAATGATTATCTGGGAATGTATGTTTGTGTTCTTAATGATAGAAAAAAAAACAATACAATTTCACAAAGTACTTTATCAAGCCGCATTGTCCGCAGTAAACCGCTTGTCCGCAATAACAAGGCGCAGGACTTGATGTGGTTGCATACTTAGTTCAACAATGTGCGTAAACCAGATAGTTTTTCTTGAAACTTTATTTGGGACATAAAAATTAAAACATTTACTAAGTATACCGTATTGACAGAAACATATTTTGTCTTGTTTGATAAACTTCAATAGATAATTCTTTTAAAATATGTTCATGAAAGTTTATATACATTTATTTTTAATAACTCCTTCGTATCAGAAACAAGGAAGCTGTAACCCATAACCGAGAGTGTCATATACATTGCCTTAATGAATGGGTATATTAAAAAGTTTCAATATAACGTACGTATCCATTTACCTGGGGTAAATACAAATATCTTTGACACGGTAGCTATTTTGTCAAGTCTGAAACCATTTCGCCTGTACAACTACTTCTCGTTTTGCCCCTTTAATTAAAAATTTACTTCTTAACATTTCGAAGTTAAAATAAGTGTAATAAATACAAAGAAAAATAAACTTTAACAGACACCTATATTCAAAAGTGTGTTTAATTCAGTTGGTCACGTGAGCTTTTTGTGCGAGATAAAGACTTGTACGACTTATTAAAAGAGTAAACAATATTTTATAACCGCTTTAAACAGATTACGTACAAGTAATGAAATCTACAGAAAAAGTATAAAACAATGTTTAATATTTATGTTCTGAATTTCAATAGCACAAGAGCAGTGTCTTTGATTAACCAAATAGAGTCACATCATTGCAAGTTTCTAATATAAAGTACGTAACAATAATAGCGTTGTTGTTTAAGAACTTGAGATGATATGTTCACTTTCAAACTGGATTAAAAAGCAAACTTCGACCGCGCTGAAGTACCCATGCGGACATTCTGTAACGCGTACAGTGCGTAATAAAAAGAGATACTTTTTACTTTCAAGCTCGTCGTTACTTTTTATAACGAAGCTAAAAATATTGCACAGGTCTCCTTTTCCAAATAGAGGAAGGAAGTGAGCGTTGCGAACTCATTTTATTGGATAGATCCTCATTCCAAAGTATGCCTCAGCCAATCAGATGCGTTTGCGTTACAATGGCACTAGAAACAATAATATAAAACTGATGTAGACATTTCTGCGCACACTAGAACTAGCTCTCTACAAACCGTAAGTATGGATTGTGAATTTACCTCCCTATTACCACATTTCACACTCCCACCTTTAAAACCTACACCTTTCACACCTCCTCGGCACAATATTTCGTTCAAGTCCCCTTTCAACCTCAAATCCCATATTTGTTTTTACAGATTTATTTTTCATTCCAAAAGTGAAAATACATCATATCGCTGGACAATATATTGTGATTATATTATGGATATATAGATCAACAGATAAAAGAAAGGTGACTTTAATTATAATGTTTAACAATTCAAGATAAGATTATCAAATTAAATAATTCGTCGTAACGGATTTTGCTGACGTTTTCAAGAACTCTATTTATATGGGTATTAATTGGTTTGTACATTATATTAAACTAGTTTCATTGACATACTAAAAGTTAATTTCATTGACATACAAAGAGTTCATTTCAGTCTTGTGTAAACAATAATTGCTAAGTACTACTTCTCTTTTTTTAATTCATAATAAAGAGGAAGTGAATAAAATACACACAAAGTATTCCATAGAACTAACAGAGAAGTCTGCTGAGAGCAACTCAGAGATTAAACACAAAAAGCCGTTTAAACTTCACATAATGTACATTCAAGTTTAAGTATTAATCATATAATAAGGATACATAAAAAAAACAAAAGTATATTGCAAAATTAGTTTTAAAAATCCTGGTAAACTTAACAGTTTGATTCTATCTCGTAGTTTTTGTTTGGTTTTAGGGCGCGCTAACACAATTTAGGTCCGGGGCGACGAGGTACATTTTTTTAGTAAGTTAATAACTAAGGAAATCGGTTAATTTTCATTGCTTAAAAGCTTATAGAAATTGAATTGAAATCGATGTAGTTCAAAGCTTGCTAGAAATTGAAATGAAATCGATGTACGAGAACGTCTCGGAGCTATCTAAATCACGATAATGTTTCATCACATACACTGCTGGGACTTGAACTCATTAGTCATTGCTACCAGTAACCAACTAGGCCAGCCTACATATCCGTACGTTTTGTACCTTTTGTAGCTAATAATATGTATTTCCTTTAACTTTGAATAGACAGTTCGAAATTCAATGCAATGTACATTCACTACACAAATTCAGCACGTTAAAAGTTAAAGAAATACGAAGATGAAAGTAAAATATATCAAGCAGCAGACGATAATCTTATCGTTAATCATTTAATTTATAATTATACTTCATTTATACCGTAGCATTTTTCTTTAAGTTATTTTTTTTCAAGGATTAAATTTTTCACCTGTACAGCGATGTCTTGTAGATATTATATTTACCATCTATGTCTCTGTCAAGAAATTGAGAGTAAAGTACATGTAGTATCAAATAAGACCAATCAAACGTTTTGTTCTCACCTGCCTTAACCTCAATGACATTGACCTTTCTGACATTGACCTATCACTGAAAGTTATAAATGTGTAGCTGTAGTAACCTTGAGAAAAAATGAAGGTCACATTCATCATAGGTAACAGTTGATAGCGAGATATCTTAATCAAATATAGAAACAGAACTCAGTTTGACAGTAGGTAAATCTGTGTCTGATAGTCAAAGATTGACAATTAAACGTTACATACAAGTAAATGATGAGAAAAATCATGTTGGGCACATACTTTGACAAAGTTTACTCCAATAAATTTAAAAGGTTCACGATCATCTTTTACATAAAAACGAAAATGTTGCAAGCTTCAGTTGATTGAATTGTTTTTTATAAGTTTGGCACCGTCAACGCTTTCAAACAACGGGCTTGAAAATACACAGGAAATAACTTTTCGAGATTAACGCCCAATTTGATGTAGGCGTAGGCCGAAAACTTGTATGCAAAATTTCAGAACATTCGCTCACTCTGTTTTCCATGATATTTTTTCTTATAGTGAAACATAACCAAAATTGAATAATGTTGCAACGCTTTTCACTAAAAAAATCGGGCTGAGAATAGCATAAAAGTACGATTATCAATTTATTTCTCAGTATATTGCTTGATTATATTTTTCAAATCTTTCGTTTTAAATGCCCTAGCTGTTTTATGTATGGAATATGAATTTCATGTTTTTAGGTTTTTGGGCTTAACTGGGGTTCCTTTCATCGTGATTATAATCTACAATTTTATTGTTTATTGCTGCATGTTACAAAATGAGAAAAAAATAAAAACATCAAAGTAAGGAAAACTACATTTAAAGTTAAGAAAAGTACAAGTTTTCACACCTGTGATGACGTGTTCTAGGCGAAAATGACAGAATAAAGTAAGTTATTATTATATATCTACTCCCTTTCTAACGAATAAATATTCCTGCAGTTTGTGGCTCATTCTATGTACTTTCTGAGAGAGAGAGAAAAAAAAGAAATAATAAGTGGCTAAGCTAACTCACAATGTGTATTTAATTAAATGTTTACTTATGAGAACAATTTCTGTTTTTCTCATGAAAAATAGCATGAATATGATAGCGTGCAGTTTTTAAAGTGTCTCAGAATTCCAATACGCTTAAGCAATGTTACATTAAAAAAGACAGAAAGAAAAAAACATGCAATATAATGCGGGTTTTTGAAGATTAATCACATTGTGTTTTATATAAAAACCTCTTCTTGTGAGTGATAATGATAATGATGTATAACCTTGCACAGATATTGTGGAATGTATATATTGTCAGAATTTGACAGGAAAAAATATGCATTCTCCATGCGCAGCAATGTAATGTAAAATAACTCTTAGTGAAGGCAACAAATTGACGATGTCAGTATTTGTTATGTTACACGTAAGCGAATAAATGAATACAGCAGTTTGAATTAGCAGGAATCCCGGATAAATAAAACATAGTTACATTATTGTATTGCTATGCGTATTCGCTTAGTGTTGTGTCTCGTACCTAATTATTTTTTATACCCTATCATTTGAAATAACACTTGAAAAATCGTCTCATGTTTTCAAAAGTTGTATTGCATTCTGTCAACATTAATAAATATCTAACTTAATATGACTGCACATATGCTGATTTTGTTTAAAGGTGAATCAAATGCGAAAGCTAGGTTAACAATACCTAGGCTTCAGGAAATAAATTAACTCGATATACGTCTTTGAATTCCTTTCCAATCCTGAATTATATCATGGTGTGTTTGAACTATATGAAATAAATACTGTCTAAAACAATACATAGGCTTGTCTATATTTCAGCCAAACGACATGATGTTGAGGCTGTGCAAAAATACTTTAGTTCTGAATTTAAATTAGAACAAATTGTAAAGAGTCATCTTACCAACTCTTTTTTTTCTTTTTGTGCCAATTGCGACATCTTGTGACAGCAAGATCACATGGTGTAGACAGTAAAAAGTTCACTGAAGTATGCTAGTCTAACGGTAAATTATTTGTCTATTTTCAGTCGGCGAGCTGTTCGAGTCGTGGCAAAAGCAGCAAGTTACCTTTTCGATTTTTCTTAGTGTTCGTGAGTAAACAACCGTAACCATGTCGACTGACTGGTCACAGGACCCGGACTTTAAGTACCTGGCGGTAGATCGTATGAAGGTGATGAAGGAGCAGACCGCGGTTTTTGATGGCAAGAAAGCTTGTTGGATTCCAGATGAAAAGGAAGGCTTCATCCGTGCTGATATTGTCTCATCTAAGGGTGATGATATCACAGTGAAAGTTTTGGCTTCTGGTCAGGTAATAACTTCTCTCTTCTTTAAAATTTTGAAATCCTAAATAGATAGGCAGATAATAAATAAATGCATTCTCAACGACAATTGCCTTCCAGTTTAACTCCTATAAGGTTCCTAATTCCATGTATGTATAAATCTGAGGGGAACCGAGAACCGTGTTCGTACACTGATGTCTCTACGGCTCTAATTTAAATGTGATTGACATGCCTTGGTTTTCATTAAGAATGCACATAAATTTATGATAACACAAGAATTTAAAAACATGAACCAAAATACTAAAATTGTGTAGCATACAGACTAGATTCTGCCTCAAATGAGTGGAAACTAATCAGATTATGATAATTTAAAAATAATAATAATAGTAGAGGGTTTGTTAAAAATCTTAATATGTTTGCATTAAGTGATTTATGAATAATCAATGAGTGCTTTGAACTTTCATTTGTCTTCAACAGAATGCTACTGTTAAAAAAGATGGCCTCCAGCAGGTCAACCCACCTAAGTTCGAGATGACAGATGACATGGCCAACATGACCTACTTGAACGAAGCCTCTGTGTTGAACAACTTGAGACAGAGATACTTCAACGGATTTATCTATGTAAGGATACGTTGTTATATATTACTTTTTAACAACTATGATCTCTTTATGCACGCATAACAAATGGACGCATACTCCGATATCCTGGAATAATTACAAAATGTATTTTATTTTGAGTAACATTTAAAACTTCTCATTTCAGACATACTCTGGTCTTTTCTGCGTCGCTGTGAACCCCTACCGTCGTCTGCCAATCTACCTGGACTCCATCATCTCCAAGTACCGTGGCAAGAGGAAGTTGGAAATGCCACCCCACTTGTTCTCCGTGTCTGATAACGCTTTCCAGTTCATGTTGCAAGGTAAAGAAATGTTGAATGTCTACCGCCAATATAAAATGTTACAAATCTGATTGAAATCTAAATTATCACATTTACAAATTAAAACAGATTTCATATTGTCTTTAACTGTAACCATTTATTTAAAGGAGACTGGCTTTCGGATGGTTAGATACATCATCAATAATGCGCATGTCAATAGCAAAAATGCACGTGCTGATTTGTTGAATATCATCAAGCAGCTTCAGACATTGTTTATGGTATATACATGTATAATACAGAGTATGGTGTGATATATCTCAAATTATGAGAAACATATGTTGCATGTATTTGAAGATCATTCGTCTGTTACGATCAAGTTTAAATTTCCATTTATCTTGCTGTTGGGAAATTGCTCTTTTCCGTCACTGTAACTTGCCATTCCTTCATTTTCAGATCGCGAAAACCAGTCTATGTTGATCACGTGAGTTGCTTTTTTGTCTCAATTTCTTGGGTTATACATGATCATGTAAGCTATATGATATGAATTATAAGAAAAAAGTGTATTAGTTATACCTACAATTTTTCATTACTAGATTGAAAGAGATTATATACATTTTGATTACAAGATCAACAAGCGAAAAACAAAATTTCAGCCTGAATGTTATTAACCATTGTCTGGTGTATGTCTAATTAATTCCTATCCAAAAAATGTGAAATTGATGAAAACCTCCTAAACATATTCTGAGATAATCTGAAGTTGGCGCCATTTAACCATTGTGGTTTCCAACTATACTTTCTATATTAAGGTACGATAAAAAGGGAAAGTGGTGAAATATCAGATCTTTTTCTAAGAATAACATGTTATTTTTGTCTATTGATTTATTCTTATTAAATCTTATATTACCATGATTAGTGGTGAGTCTGGTGCCGGTAAGACTGAGAACACAAAGAAAGTAATCATGTACTTCGCCAAGGTCGCCGCTCAACTCCAGAAACAGACAGAGGAAGAGAAGGCAGCCGCCGCGGCCTCCAAGAAGGTAACGTTTTCTAATAACTGATTTCTTGTATTCTGTATTGAATGTCTTGGTATTATAAAGAATACTAGTAATTAAATGTATGTTGAGATTGTGCTTTATAATACAACAATACCGCATGATAATGACAAGTTTACATCCTATATTATATAAGCACAATATATATTACAGGGTACCCTTGAGGATCAGATTGTGCAGGCTAACCCTGTACTTGAGGCTTACGGTAACGCCAAGACAACCCGTAACAACAACTCCTCTAGATTCGTGAGTTTATATTTGAACTGCTTCCCTAATGTTGTAACCTTTTTCTTTAAAAATATCAATATCAAAATATATCAAAACAAAAATATATATATATATTTATAAACTGCCCAGTAATATAACTGTTTTTTTAAACTGGATGTGACCGTGAAGCATTCAATGTTTGCTATCTGTGTCGTTTGCTTATTTTACCTTGAGCTTATCTATCATATTCCAGAGTGTATCGATAAAGCCCCCACATCCCGAATGCCATTTTTTCTATCCACAAAACATTTACCATTGCTTTATATTACAGGTGATATACCATGTTTAGTAAGGGAGGACATAGCCGCCGAAACTTGCAGCTGATATAGACCATTTGATTGATATAAAAATACCTCTACATCTGTAATTTTATAATAGAAAGCTTGTTTTTATCTTGTTGCTTTTGGGGGTTTATTTTTTTTTTTGGGGGGGGGGGGGGTTGGTTAAAGCTGAAAAATTCTTCATGGCGGTATTTGTGAAGTAATATTTCTAAAATAAAATGGAATATGTTTATTCAGTTTCACAATTTAAAGCAAAACGTTAGTTTTTTTACAGATCAACTGGTCTATAACGGGTTCCCCTATGCTATGTCAGTTGAAATGTCTGTCCATTTCGTCCCAGGCAAATTACATTTTTTCTAAGTGGTCAATGTATGTTTACTGCATGATTTTCACCTTCTGTTCTAGCAAATTTACAGCTCTGGACCTACCATATACCTCAACACACTCCAGCTTTTCTCCAATGTGTGAGTATTCAAACGGATTTGATGTGATTTCCTTATATGTCAACCTCATGTCTCAATCTGTATATGAGCCGAGTCACGACAAAACCAACATAGTGCATTTGCGTCCAGCATGGATCCAGACCAGCCTGCGCATCCGCGCAGTCTGATCAGGATCCATGCTGTTCGCTTACCAACTCTATTACAAGTAGAGAACCTGATAGCGAACAGCATGGATCCTGATCAGACTGCGCGGATGCGCAGGCTGGTCTGGATCCATGCTGGTCGCAAACCCATTATTTTGGTTTTGTCGTGACGCGGCTCATTTATAATTGTTTATAGACGCAACAATTTCAGTTTAACATACTTTTTGTCATTCAAATCATATTGGTACCTTTGATTTTTCATGAACAGTTTAAGCCGATGCTAAAGACATCATCAGAATAAAATACTTGTATAAAAAAACTAGCATAATTTGTTTTCTATTTGATTTAGGTCAGGGAAGTTTTAATAACATGTTCAGACACAAACAATTTGAAGTAAAAAAAATAGAGAGGCATTTTGGGATTCAACTAAATTTTATGAAAACGACTATTCGAATACTAATATATTCGAAAATGAAATACAAATATTTGAACACCAAGATCATGATTTGTCTCCGGCCCCTATTTTCAAAACCTATTACATTTAACCAAAGACCAACTGCAAGTAAAACACAATACGTTAACTTGCAGTTATATATAAATTGAACTATTTTTGTTGTACAGATTCAATTGACTGAAGGCAAAGATAGTGCACAATTATATTCAAATTCTATATACTATAAACGTGACATCTTAACAGTTTGTGTATTTATATTGTAGTAATGATGTTCTATGTACAAATCCAAAATAAAATTATGTTCTGTTCTGTTTTGTTCAAAAGACTTTCAGTTGGTAATGGTCTTTAACATATTTTTAAATGACTGTATGATTGTTTTATTTGTTTAGGGTAAATTTATCCGTATCCACTTTGGTCCTACTGGAAAAATCGCTGGAGCCGATATCGAGACTTGTAAGTTGAATAAAGTTTTAAAAATACCATAAATAATAATAATAATAATAAAAGTAATAATAATAATAATAATTTAATGGGTGGTTAAATCGAAAGAAACAGTACTGATATAAAAGAAATGTGTATTTATTTATTCTTTATTTATTCTTTCTTTTTCTTTTTATTAGGCTTTAATGTCGCACCAACACAGTATAGGTCATATTTTTTCAGCTGCCCTCTGTGCGTTATTTAGGCACACACAGGCACAGTAGTAGAATAACCGACGTTCCGTTGGATAGCTTTCTCATATGAAAGAATAATGCAAAGACGCTTGCACAGCTCGAACCTACATCGGTGGGGGGCGAGTTGTTTAAAGTCAACGACCTTAACCATCCGGCTATAAACGTCCCTTAATCATATGTTTAAAATAAAATGTTTTAAATTCTAATCAAATGAAAGATTGTTGACGTCAAATTTGACGTGATTATATCACTTTGAATGAAAGTTAATGAGCTTACTTTGTTTCCTATTAAGACCTGTTGGAGAAGTCTCGTGTAACATACCAGCAATCGGCTGAGAGAAATTACCACATCTTCTACCAGATATTGACAAATGCAATTCCAAAATACCACGGTAATTGTCTATTCGTCCATATTTGATCTGTTTTCATTTATACCGTCGCCACTGTTTTATAAACGAAATGCCTTTTTCTTTACTATATACTTTAGAGAACAACATTTTACGTCAACCATTTAACAGTCCTAGCATCAGGATAGAATCTCGGTCGTTTCGCAAATTCAACGTGTGTGGTTAGATTTGAAAACGCACCCTATAGACGTCAACAATATATTTCATTTGATTACAAAGTTCTAAAATGGTATCATATTCTTGATTTAAATATGACTTTTGCAGAATTTTAGTGACATACCTGTTGAGTAATTACTTACATGAAAGAGTTGACGAAATTAAACCTTACGAAGAACATTAACTCAGTAACGAATTAAAAATTTTTGGAACAGCCATTGATTTTTTCCTTTAGTAACGTATTGGGATTGACAGTAATATTTCCAATGACTTTCCGATTTAAAAACATCTACGGGATCGTCATACCTTTCAGTATTAATTTTAGTTACTTCTCAAAATACATAGTAGCGAAATCATGAATAATGCACATATAATGAAAAATTGGTGTTAATGAGTTTCAGTCTTCATGTCTTTGTGGTAACTTGTCACAAACATAACATAACACAGGTCATGTCAGATATATTTACTATTTTGGATTTAATGTGTTTCCTGTCATATTGTTACAGAAATGTGTTTGGTTCAACCTGACGCAGGCCTGTATTCGTTCATCAATCAAGGTGTATTGACTGTTGATGGTATCGATGACGTAGAGGAAATGAAATTGACAGATGTAATTATTTCAATTATGATTTTCCTTTTTAATTGGGTTTACGTCGCACCAATACATAATATGTCATATGACAACTTTCCAGCTTTACTTGTAGAGAAAGACCTCAAGTAGAACCACTAACGTTCCGTAAGCTAGTTGGATAGCTTCCTCACTCATGAAAATATATTTGATCGCATTTTGCGTAAGAATAAAAATTCATTTTTAAGAAAATATCAAAACAAATGTACATTTGTAATTAATTTTATTGATTAGATAAAGGAATGTATTTTGTTTCTTTCTTCTGTAACTTGTTTCTTTCATATTATCAATTTTGTAACTGTTTATTTAACCTAGGATGCCTATGACGTGTTGGGCTTCACCCAGGACGAGAAGAACAGTTTGTACAAAATCACTGCCGCTGTCTTACACGCCGGCGAGATGAAATGGAAACAACATCCAAGAGAAGAACAGGCTGAAGCTGATGGCACTGCTGGTAAGATGTTTTATACGAAAGCTAACTTCTAAGCATAAATTCTGCATCATGATTAAACGGGTGCTTACTCACAACTTTCAATATGCTCATGTTATTTTACTCGTATGCTATTTGCATTGTTGTTAGGGTTGTTTCAGTGTCATTTCTTAATATATATATATATATATATATATATATCCATAAATCTTGCAATGTTTCTGAGAGATTTTGCTAAGTTTTCTTAAACGTTTCTCACAACAGAGGCCGAAAAGGTTGCTTTCCTGTTCGGTGTGAACAGCGGAGATTTGCTTAAGGGCTTCTTAAAACCAAAGATCAAGGTCGGCACAGAATTTGTCACTCAAGGTCGTAACAAAGATCAGGTGACCTACTCGGTCAGTGCTTTGGCCAAGTCTACCTACGCTCGTATGTTTGACTGGCTGGTCAAGAGAGTCAATTTGACCCTTGATACCAAAGCAAAGAGAAACTATTACATTGGTGTATTGGACATTGCTGGTTTCGAAATTTTTGACGTAAGTTATTTTATTGATTTCAAAATAAATAATAAGCTCGATGAAGTTAATTTATAAAATAAAAAGATAATATCATGCATTGAAACTTTGTTTAATTAGAATGTGATTAGATTATTCAGTAGTATGTGAACAACTAAATTGGTATTGTAACCATGATACATGTACGAGTATCATGCATTCCGATAATGAATACCGAAGAATAAATGTTATTACATTTTAAAAACATATTTTTTTCTTTTGTAGTTCAATAGTTTTGAGCAATTGTGTATCAACTACACCAATGAAAGACTCCAGCAGTTCTTCAACCATCACATGTTCGTACTGGAACAGGAAGAATACAAGAAAGAAGGTATCCAGTGGGAATTCATCGACTTCGGTATGGACTTGCAGGCCTGCATCGATCTTATTGAAAAGGTTCTTACTTTACATTTTCCATTTTCAATAAACTTATTTGAGCTTAATTGCGAACAATAGCTTGTCTGGCCTTATACCGAATCGTATTATGGAATAATATGTGGTGTTGTATAGAGACATTAAACGTATTAATTTGAACGATCAACAAATTAAGAGAAAGAAAATACCTTGAATAATTAGATAAAATTCCATCGGATAACCTAATAACATTGTAACATGTTGGTGCAAACTCTTTCATAGCATTTATAAATTGAATGTTTAGAATTTGAATCCAAATTCTTTTTTCTGTTAAGCTAAAATAAATATGTTTATATGTTAATTGTAATTTTGTATAGCCTATGGGTATCTTGTCCATCCTTGAAGAAGAATGCATGTTCCCCAAGGCCTCTGACAAGACCTTCGAGGAGAAACTTATGATCAACCATCTTGGTAAGACCAAGAGTTTCCAAAAGCCTATAAAGAGCCGAAAAGGTGGTGCCAACGCCCACTTTGAGTTGGGTCACTACGCTGGTGCTGTAAGTTGATTTTTATTTAAAAGCAAAATTCATACTTGATTAATAATAAATGCAATTATCAATAAATTAACTAAAATAAGAATTGACCAAAAACGTTACAAAGTTGTTTTTTTATTACTTAGTTTAAACATATTTATTATATTAAATACATGACAAATAAAATACACATGATGGGTATAAAAAAAGCACATGGGTTTGGCAACAAATTCTAGAAACATTAGATTAAGTTCTTCCCAGAAATCAATATTATAGAAAAAATACTTTTATGATTTAAATGATTACTTTTAGCATGTATTTAAACAAAACAATATTCAATTAAGTTTTTGTCAAAATAGTTGGTTTCTAATAAATGTCGTCCTTATGCCAACCATGTCAATGGTAAGATCAAGAATTTACAGAAGTCCTTTCAAAGTCGAAAGGGTGGTGCCAATGGCCACTGTAAGTTTGGTCACTATGTTAGCGCTATAAGCTGAAATGTTCAAAAGGAAAAATCATATTTGATTTGTTAATGAAATAAAAATTAATCAAAAGCGACAAAATGTCATAACGCATTTGCATTGCCTTAAACTCTTTTGTTTATGATTCAATCAAAAGCAAACTTCAATTTATTTTTGTCAAATCATGGGTTTTTACATGTGTGTCTCTGATTTCTTTAGACATTTCTTTTTACCAAAGGTAATCAATGAAAAAAATAGTATCATCTTGGCAAAAAAACAACATGCTATTGATATTGACAAATATATGTCCTGATAGGTTCCTTACAATCTCACCAACTGGCTGGAGAAAAATAAGGATCCAGTTAACGAGACTGTTGTTGGAATTCTTGGTGAATCAAAGGAAGCTCTTGTAGCCAGTCTCTTTGCTGCTCCTGCTGCACGTACGTGATTAATATCATTGTTACTTTATAGTAGAAAGCTATAATTATGTTAAATAACGTTTTGTTTGAAACACCATTACTTCATATGTTCTATGTGTAACATTAATTGCAACATGCTCGTTCTTTGACGTGTTTGTTTGTTTGTTTGGGTTTTACGTCACATCGACACAGTATAGGTCATATCGCGACGTTCCCGCTTTACTGGTGGAGGAGGACCTCAGGTGCCCTTCCGTGCATTATTTCAGGCACGAACGGGCACCTGAGTAGAACCACCGACGTTCCGTAAGCTAGCTGGATAGCTTCCTCACATGAAAGAATCCAAAGTCCCTGTCGGGATTCGAACCCACAGCGGTGAGGGGCAAGTGGTTGAAGTCAACGACCTTAACCACTCGGCCACGCACGCCTCTTTGACGTGTATTGTATAGATATTTTCTAATGTTTTGTGTGTCAGGTGCATCACTTGATAAAATAAGTTATTAAACGTATGTCTATAATGAATAATTTTCATTTTTATAAAGCAATAGAAGTAAATACCTTGTACTTATTTTATAATGCAGCCGAAGGTGGTGGTGGTGGCAAGAAGAAGGGGAAATCATCTGCTTTCCAGACCATCTCCGCTGTACACAGGGTAAGCAAATTACAAACTACTATTAACAGGTTTGAAATATTCTTTGCGAAATATGATAATGAATAATAAATGTCGTCCCTTCAAATTAGGACATATTTGTTAGCAGTTTTCACTGTCAACAAATATCAGTTACAAAAACAAAGTATCTTCAAAGCTTTGAACTTCTGATTTTAATCGAAGAATTAATATTCATGTACAAAAGCATTTTTCTTTGGTATTGTATACTAATTTTCTTATTTCAAATCAGTATATCTGAAATATACTTTTTAACCAAATATGATGAATGCAATTAATAAAATCAGGGTTTTACTTTAAACAACAGGAATCTCTGAACAAGCTGATGAAGAACTTGTACACCACTCACCCCCACTTTGTACGTTGCATCATTCCTAACGAGACCAAGTCTCCAGGTGTCATTGATGCCGCTCTTGTACTCAATCAGCTTCAGTGTAACGGTGTACTTGAAGGTATCCGTATCTGTAGAAAGGGATTCCCAAGCAGAGTAGTTTATGGTGAATTCAAACAAAGGTAATTCAATCTGTTCACCTGTTAATATCTTAACAAATGTTGCAATTATTGATACCTAAATAGCATTGAAATGATTTTTGGGCTCTCTTTTTACATATTAGTTTACATGTATAAGATTTTAATTATATTGCGCTCAAATAATATCACATTTTAGGGAACGAATTTTGAAGAGAAGCCAAAAATAAAACTGAAATTACTAGTATCTTTTCTCCAACACTTAAAATAAAAGCACAATTCCAGAATAACAGATAAAAAAGCACTCTTTAGAAATTTGACTCCAAAATCATATAAATCATGCAATAGTTTTGTATTCAAATGAATATTGTAGATACTCTATACTGGCTCCAAACGCTGTTCCACAAGGATTTGTTGAAGGTAAATTGGTCACAGAAAAGATTTTGGAAGCCCTTCAGATGGATGTTAACGAGTACAAGATCGGTAACACCAAAGTGTTCTTCAAAGCTGGTGTGTTAGGTATGCTTGAAGATATGCGTGACGAACGTCTCTCTAAGATTGTGTCACTCTTCCAGGCCTGGATCAGAGGTTATCTTATGCGCAAACAGTATAAGAAACTGCAAGACCAGAGGTGGGTTCACCCCAATTCTTATCTTTTAATGAGATACCAAGATTTCCGATTTTTATATATTGTACACATTGAAACTAAGAGAAGGCCAAACACATAATCTTTTTACAATACATTTTTATGTGATATCACAGTTAAACCTGTTTCGCAATAAGCACATTTAAGATTTTAATTTGTTCTGTACAATTTGCTTACAAAATAAAAAAAACCTTTAGTTAATGATTATTGCTTATCAGGTTTGACGTTCCTGTAATATATTTATCATTTCTGTTTGCTTGAAGGACTGGTCTTTCAAGAATTCAGAGAAACATCCGTAAGTACATGATATTGAAGAACTGGCAATGGTGGAAATTGTACACAAAGGTTAAGCCACTTCTAAGTGCTGCCCGCGCTGAAGATGAAATGAAAATGATGGAAGAAGAATTCAAGAAATGCAAGGAAGAGTTGGCCAAGGTCGAGAAACAAAAGAAAGAACTTGAAGAACAAAATGTTGGTTTAAGAAGACAAAAAGATGATATGTATTTCCAAATGCAGGCAGAACAGGATACCATGGGTGACTATGAGGAGAAGATGGAAAATCTCATTAAAGAAAAGGCAGAATATCAGGCACAAATAAAAGACCTAGAAGAAAGGTGCATGGATGAAGAAGAAGCCGGAGCAGAACTTCAAGCTGTTAGGAAAAAATTAGAAGAAGAAGGCGAACAACTCAGGTCTTCAATCAAAGAACTTGAAGGTACTCTAGCTAAAGCAGAACATGACAAGACAACTAAAGACAATCAAATAAAAACACTGCAAAGTGAAATGGCCCAACAAGATGACCAGATTGGTAAATTGAACAAGGATAAAAAGAACCTCGAGGATAATCTGAAGAAAACAGAAGGTGCTCTTGCTGCTGAGGAAGAAAAGAATAATAATCTTAATAAGCTTAAACAGAAGCTTGAGAGCACACTTGATGAGGTATGAACATTAGGCTCTTTAATCAGAGATCTTAATGCAACTATTTATATCATTTACGTATTTAAAATATTCGTATTACTCATACAAGATATTTCAGTGTGTTTGTACATTTTATTTGTGCCATGTTATCTTTGTTGAGATAAAAGATTATGGTTTATACAAATGGTTATTTCGTACGGGATTGCTTTTCTGTTATTGTATATTGATTTGAATTTAGATTATTGCATTGCTTATAGCAATAGACGTATTCAATTTATATGCGATAAAACACTTCTTTTATAAGAAATGCAAATAGATATAATGAATAATTGGTACGAAATGCTTTGAATGGTGTTTACGTTTAGCATGTACAAGAAATTAACGAATTAATTACAGCTGGAGGATAACTTGGAGCGTGAAAGAAAGGTTCGTGCAGATGTCGAAAAGGCCAAAAAGAAACTAGAGTCGGATCTTAAATCATCACAAGACAATGTAGAGGAACTTGAACGTCTTAAGGGTGAACTTGAAGGCAATATCAAAAAGTATGTACAACGTATTTTTAAACTTATAATATCTCTCATAAAGATTCAATTAAACTGTATCTGCAATTGTTACCTATTTGCTTTTCTTTCCCTTTTCCAGATTGCCGACTTCTTGAAAAGACATAAAAATTACATATTTAAATCAAGAAATTGCTCGAGAACCTGTACATTAAATAAGGGAAAATACCTAATGCAGTCAATAAACAATAAAGCTAGTCACAATAGATATTACTAACAGTATTATTTTGCTGATCTGCTTAATTTAAAAAATATTAAAATTATTCTTTCCGTGCAATACAATTGAGTGTCTTATCTTTAGTCTAGAATTATTATGATTTCGTTAAGAAAAATTTACGAGTGAAACTACTGTTTTAATGATCGCTTATTCAAAAAGAAACAAAATCTAGAATCAAAAACTAGGCGTGTGTTTTTCTAACTACATTTTTTTTCTCTTTTTATCAGGAAGGAAGCTGAAAATAAAGCTCTTAGCTCAAAACTCGAGGATGAGCAAAACTTGGTCGCTCAACTCCAAAGAAAGATCAAAGAACTTCAGGCTCGCATTGAAGAACTCGAAGAAGAGCTTGAGAATGAGAGACAAGCTAGATCAAAGGTAATAAGTTATTTACTTTTAGTACCATTTTCTTAAACACACAATGATATATGTTTTATTGCTTAGTTTCAATTAGTGTGAAATAAAGTTGGTTTCCAAAAATATTATTTAAAAACAAAGATATTTGCATCTGAACATTGTCCTGCAAACGATATTATGAAAATCAGTTGTTAAATAACAGAAAGCTGTTTAGTAAAAGCAAAACTATCGTCTGCCTCTACAGTGTAAGTAGAGGTATGAATTTATTTATTTGAGATTTAACAAAAATGCATGTAAAGTTAAATTTATGTTTACCTTATTATAGACAGAACTTCTACTTAACCTGGAATTTTTAGGAAACCTATGTAGAAGTTATTTCGTATAATAATCAAAGTTAAAAAACGAACAAATTGCTTTTTTCGTACTTTTAATTATGAATTCAATCAAATGAATCATTTTAAATGCCTTGGAAGATAATTATGTTTTATGTTTATTTATCGTACATCATTTATAAAATTCACTTTAATGTTCAATTATAATAACAATGATAAAAAATAAAAATATATTTATTCTCATCATTGTTTTTTAGATCATTATTATCATTATTATTAAAGACATCATCAACAGCATCAATATTCCTTTTGCAAAATCAATATTTGTAACATCATTCAGTGATCCTATACATCTACAAATTACAAGCTTGTTAAGCAGATAAGTTGATAAATGCTCTAGTTGATTTAATTAGTTCAATTACAAACAAACAATAATATGAATACCTGAAAACAGAACATTAACGGCTTTTATAAAATTTTAAGTTTTATGTCATTGTCTTTGCCATTTTAGGTTGAGAAACAGAGAGTTGAACTTTCCCGCGAGCTTGATGATCTAAATGATCGCTTGGAGGAAGCTGGTGGCGCCACTGCCGCTCAACTTGAACTGAACAAGAAGCGTGAAGCTGAACTGTTGAAGCTTCGACGTGAAATGGAAGAACAAAGTCTTCAGGCAGAGTCTCAGATCAACTCACTTCGCAAGAAAGCTAACGATACAGCTGCTGAAATGGCAAACCAGGTTGATCAACTTACAAAGACCAAACAGAGGTAATAAAAGAAAAGGTGTACTACTGAAGAGACATTGGGCATATATAGCAACCATCTTAAACATAAATATCAAGTAAAAAGTAGACATTTGTTAGCATTTTCGTTGTTCGCTTTAAGAAATAAGAACACATCGTTGAAAAAATCTCAAACAAAACTTTTTAAAAAAATCAAATGTATATATATTTTGATTCACAGATGTCATTTGTTTGAAGAAATGTCAAAGATAATGCAATTGCAAACTTACAACGCAAGTCATGTAAAGACGTGTAAAGTTCCATCAACTCAGATTTTCATAATTTTTGTTTATTTGGTATTGTAGAGTTGAAAAGGAAAAGATGCAGCTAAAGTCTGAAATTGACGATCTTCGTACGCAAATAGACCATGTTTCTAAAAACAGAGTATGTACAATTGTACAATAAATATCTCGCAAGCCTCTATTAAAAGTCATTTTATATAAGCAGTCAACTTTCAAAAGATAAATTAAATTCTTAATTTTCAAAAAGAGATTTAGTATTTCAAAACGGATTACATGCTCATGATATAAAACATCCAAGTCCATTAAATTGATATACAATGTTATAAGTATGTGATGTATTCCACTTAAACACTTAAAAGTGACAACAATAATACGTAATTATTGTTGATAACAAACTCGTTCAACCAACTCATCATAATTCATATACATGTACTTGCAAAATATCTAATATCTTGAGGTATTTATAAATAAAAATGACTAACGACATAGCTTTCATGATTCTCATGACTGAAATTTTATATCTTAAGGGTATGTCTGAGAAAATGTCAAAACAAGTTGAATCACAAATCTCCGACCTCAGTCTCCAAATTGAAGAAAGCAAAATCAGTTATCAGGAAGTCAGTTCTGTGAAAGTGAGATTACAAGCCGAAAACTCCGAATTCACTCGCCAGATAGAAGAATCTGAAAGCAGATTAAACCAACTGTCTAGAGAAAAACACAACTACATCACACAACTTGAGGAGGCTAGACATGCTCTTGACGACGAAAGCAGGGTATTTGGAAAAATGTTTTAGCATTAAAACAGGACAATATTTCGAAATATGTTGCATGAATTCTTTAATTTTCAAAAACAAGTTTAAGAATTTTTAATATCACATTTCTGTATTTAAGTGAAATGGCATTAATAATAAAACCAGCGAGTATTTAAACATGATTTAACAAACACGTCTTAATATTTAAGCAGTTTAAATTTTAAGTTTTCCTCCAACTTATCTTGAGAATAGGTTTATCCATTCAGTATTGGACAAATCATTTGTAACCTAACAATAAATAATCATGCATTTAGTAAACTTCTCCTGTATCAATATGAGACAAACGTTTTGCATACTTGTATCAAGAGAAATTGCTTTTCTTAGATCATAAAAACATGAAAAATTTGAATGATTAACAAAGAAATGATTCCTATAATCTACTTCTAATTAGGCTCGCCAAAAGTTTGCCACTGAAGTCAGGCATCTCCAAGCCGATCTTAACTCTCTCCGTGAACAATTTGAAGAGGAATCTGAGGCTAAGAATGATTTACAGAGACAACTGTCTAAAGCACATACCGAGGCCCAACAATGGCGTGTTAAGTATGAAACAGACGGTATGGCTCGTGCTGATGAACTTGAAGAAAGTAAGCGCAAGCTTCAAGTCAGACTTCAGGAGGTTGAGGCAGCACTTGAGGTCGCAAATACTAAGGTGTCAAGTCTAGAAAAGGTCAAAGCTAGACAGCAAGTTGAACTTGAAGACGCTGTAGCAAACTACGACAGAGCTAATGCAACTGTTACACAACTTGAAAAGAGAAGCCGATCCTTCGACAAAGTGGTTGCTGAATGGCAAGCAAAATACCGCACCATACAGATAGAATTTGAAACAGTCCAGAAAGAGTCTCGAGGATATTCAGCTGAATTGTATCGCATCACATGTCAGCTTGTGGAATCAAATGATGCTAATGAAGTATTAAAAAGGGAAAACAAAACTCTGTCCAGTACGTACTTTTGTCATAGATTTTGTGAGTCTTTCAAATATGATGTTATGTACAACATTTAGATATAGGTTAAATGCATGCACATTTCTTTTCTTAAACATGTATTTTCAATGGTTATTTTAAATCGTTTAAGCTGGCTTATGAACCATTAAGATATGGCAGTTTGATATTGAAAACGTAATTATGGCTTGTAGCGATATGTATTAACATTCTATCTCTTTACCTGATTATCTAAGTTTAAAATTTCAGCTGAAATTCATGACTTAAACGACCAGGTTATAGATCTTGGAAGAATCGTACAAGAACACGACAAAGCTCGTCGCCGTCTTGAATTAGAAAAAGAAGAACTTCAAGCTGCCCTAGAAGAAGCTGAAAGTGCCCTTGAACAGGAAGAAGCTAAGGTTGCCAGAGTTCAGCTTGAAATCGTTTCCATTAGGCAAGAAATTGACAAGCGCATTGCTGAGAAGGAGGAAGAATTTGAAAACACAAGGTATATTAATCATTCTCTTGTAAGATAAATCTATTTGTTTTTAGTTTTATCTTAGAAGCACATGTTCATAATTAATGTTTTAAACAAAATATTTATCAGAATTAAATGATTTTCTATAAAATGATATAAAGGGTATTTGCTTTTGAAGTGTTGGATCTTAGAGTATTAATTTAATTTGTCTCCGCAATTTCCACTATGACTTCTTGAAGATCATTATATTGGGATAAAAATGACATATACGTCCCATTGCAGACGTAATCATCAACGATCTCTTGAATCAGTAAATGCAAGCCTTGAAGCTGAAGTTAAGGCAAAGGTAGAGGCCCTGAGAATACGCAAAAAGCTAGAGCAAGATATCAATGAGCTCGAATCTTCACTTGATCTTAGCAATCGCTCAAGGGCAGATGCCGAAAAGAACGTGAAGAGGCTCCAAGAATTGCTTAGAGAGATGCAGGCGGCACTTGAGGAGGAGCAGCGCAAGGTCAGCGAAGCACGTGAAGCTTTTGAAATTGCTGAGAGACGAACACACTCTGTTCAGGTTGAATGTGAAGAAATGAGAAACCATCTTGAGACGGCCGAAAGGTCACGCAAGGTTGTAGAAAATGAGCTAGTTGAAACATCCGATCGCGTGAATGAATTAACAGCTGCTCTTCAGTCTATTGAGAGCCAAAAAAGAAAGATTGAAGGCGACTTCGCCGCTATACAAGCAGATATGGACGACATGAGTAATGAGGTGAAATCTGCTGATGATAGAGCTAAAAAGGCATCTCTAGATGTTCAACGACTGACTGAAGAACTACGTTCTGAAAAGGATCATGGTTCAGCTCTTATAAAGATTCGTCAATCTCTTGAATCTCAAGTGAAAGACCTCACAGGTCGTCTTGATGAAGCTGAAACAGCATCTTTGAAGTCTGGACAGAAGGCAGTTGCAAAGCTGGAAATAAGGGTGATTACATGTATATGCATGTGTTATCTAAACATGAATACATTTAGTAGATTTAATTCAACTCGTTTTTTCATTTTATTTCTACACTATGATATTACCATATAAGTATTTTTTTCTGTTCTGCGGTTTTTCCAAATTTTTCGGTGGACTTTATTTCTGCGGCACACTCTTTGGACAAAACGTGATTTAGATTCTGCGGCTCATTTTATCAAGGTCTAAGTTACATTTCTCTACCTATAACGTTTGCATGTACATATTCGCATTTGTTTATCGCAAAACAGTCAGTAATTAATACTCGCGTGCAAAAAAATATAATGGGTAGCAATAGAAACGTATACATCTTTTGATCAGCGTGAAATGACGCGTAAAAATATTCCCCAGTTATATCTCTAATTTAAAAAGAAATGATAGAAACGTAAAGCAGACGACAATTAAAGTATAAGACGATTATTTTGCAGTACAATGGTTAAAATGGTTTGAATGATTTAGCTGTTAACAACCATTTTAGCATACCGGCAAACACTATATGTGACGTTTAAATATCTTTATTAATAAACTGACATTATTAACAATAAGTACATATTTACAAACACAGCTTACATACTTAGCCGATAGCAATTTTATACAACTCGATGAACCGCCAACCGTTATAATCCGTTAGTCACGGCACATGTCATAAGGTTGCAATTAGTTAATTCCTGACTAACTTGAACAGACGAGTATTATATGTGTTCAGTTTCATGTTTAATATCAACAGGTTCAGCAATTGGAAAGTGAATATGAAGCTGAGCAGAGACGTCATGTTGAAACTCAAAAGAACGCACGAAAGGCCGACCGACGCTTGAAAGAATTGGCATACCAAGTTGAGGAGGACAGGAAGAGCGCGGAAATATTACAAGATCTTGTTGATAAACTTCAGACAAAGATTAAGACATACAAACGCCAAGCTGAAGAAGCAGTAAGTGAATTATGTTATACTTTCAAATGCTTCGTGAAGTATTGTTTTCATCAGTAGAGGAAGTGCCCTATATGCTAGCTTGCAGAATTTATAAAAATAAAAAAATTATGATCTTAAAACATTTACAAGTATGACGCTTAATCAGCACCAAATTCCAACGCTAATTAGCAAGCTATTTAAAAAAGTAAGGCAATAGTTCTTGTTTTTAATTTGTAAAACATTTTGTTTCTGTAGGAGGAGGTCGCAGCTATTAATCTCGCCAAGTTCCGTAAGGTTGCCGAAGAGCTTGAGGACGCTGAGTCACGTGCTGACTCCGCTGAAAACATGGTGTCTAAATTCAGGGTACAGAGTAGAAGTTTCTCTGCAGCTGCAGCCACAGGCAGTAGTAGCCATACTGTTGTAAGTATTCAGGACAGTCGAAGCAAAACTCCTGTAACTATTCAGGGCAGTAGTAGTCGTACTGTAAGTATTCGTACTGAAAATTAGATACCACAGGTCAGGGCAATACTGACAAAATTGTTGTATTTTTCCAGGGCAGTAGTAGCCATATTGTTTTAAGTACCTAATCTTTGGCAGTAGTGCCTACATTGTTGTAAATATTCAGGGCCGTTGTAGTCATACTTTTGTTAGTATTCAGGGTAATTGTAGCTATACTGTTTTGCAAAGTAAGTAATTACGGCATGCCAGGGCAGTAGTAAAATTATTATTCTATGTGTTCAGGGCAGTTGTAACTATCCTTATTACAGGCCGATAGTAGTTATTCTGTTGCAAATATTCAGAGAAGTGGTAGCCATACTATGGTACTGGTAGTCATACTGCTAGGCAAGAACCCAGGACAGTAGTAGCAATACTGTTGTTTAAAATCAATAAACACCGCGGCTGAGGGCAATAGTAGCAGTATTATTGTATGTACTCAGGCCAATATAGTAGCCACAAAATTTGTATTGCAACACTTCTGGGCACATATATGATAACTGTTCATTTAATGATAAATAGTGATGCAATCGTGCTATATCATTGCATAGCCTTTTTGGTCATTGCTGTGCAATAAATAATATGAAAAGATACAAATAACTCATTGTATCGTATGGATAAAATAATATTATAAATACGTTTGTTTTCAGATCAAGACATCATTCACCAGCGCAGAAATGTAAACAATTTTTACACTTAGAGGTAACTATTTCTATGACGTAGATACCATTTTACGTTGTTTCAAGAATGTCCTACCTTAACGATGGCAACAAGTTATCTTGATATTATCTACAACAAAGATTAAGTTAATCTAATTTATCATGATGAATATTAAGTTAAGTTGAAGCATATTTACTAACCTGTACGGTTCAACCGGACCTATCCACTTGACAGACTCTATCTGTATATCCAAGAAAAGATAACTAAACAGTACTAAAGACGGTCACTACTTCTTGTTACTTCCCTTTACTCGTTATATTCTAGACGGCATAAATTTTCCTCTTTTTGATTTTGTTGCAAACCGACGATCTGCGTACTGTTATTATTATTATTAATTATTATTATTATTATTATTATTATTATTAAGCAATTGTTTTGGATTATTATGCAAATTATATGATTTTAAATACTTTTAATTTTATCTGTCATTGAATGTCTATTTTATAGTTTTATCAAAGAAATGAAACTGGATTTTGCTATTGATGACTGACATTTCAGAATGATCTCTGCTTGAGAGACCGGTTTAAAGTTTCACTTGACCTTTGAATTAGCAAACAGTAATAATAACAATACACGTTACTTTATTAGACATATGAGACTATTTGGCAAGCAAGCATTCCAACATTATTTTGGTTAATGTATATTTATTAGAATAATCGTATTATGTGTTTCACAATTTTGACTAGACAATATAAGAACATTATTATAATATATGTGATTATTTCAGGAAAATAGCTATGTTGCCCACAGCTTGACCCTTGACCTGTGCAATCACTTCGTCTTGTGAGGGTGATGACATTAAATGCCTGGAGAAAACGGCAAACCAGTTGTAGAGTCTGTTTCCATGACTACACTCCTGTATTCTCGTGTTATGAACTTGTGTTATTTTTTACTTATATTAACATAGAAAACAAGTGTTATCAGTGGAATAGTTTAAAATATTGTGGTTTTGGACTGTTTTAACAGGTACATTACGTAACAAGTTGTTTGGAAGGTACAGACAGACAAACAGACACTTGATAAGATCCTATAATAGGATCGTCAATGATCCCTCATTGGGCGAAGAACTAGCTGTAGAATATTATATGTAGTTGTAAAGTTTGTGATAAAATTTGTAGTTGTGTATTTGCTCGTCAACTGTTTCTGTATTGCTAGCATGGTATTAAAAAAATAATGAAATGTACAAGAAAACGAACAGTTTGTTTTCCTTATTATTATTGTTGTTATAATTGTTGTTGTCTCGTGAATGTGTACGATGTTTGGTGCAGCAGAATAAAGTCACGACGATTATTAAACGTTGTCTGAGTTCCAGTCCACATGTTCTGTCATTGGCTGCCGATATAACTACATTTATCACGTCAGGCAGCAAATTACAATTAACCGATCTCCTTGAAATAATAAAAAAATACAGTTCTGCTTGAGTTTATAAACATTATATGTTTGAACCAATGAACAAATAATTAATTGCACGATTCAACATTTTTAATCTTTTACATTTGTCAGTAGCTATAACATGTATCACTGTAAGATACAATAGAATATTTAGTGATTGGGTGAACATCTTATGTTTCTAAGTATGTAACCTATCATAAAAAAACTAGCACTTTATTGTTTTTTTAAGAACGTTAAAGATTTCATAATTCTATATAACAATTTGTCACTTATATATGTGTCAGGTATTTCATTCTCCTAGAAAAAAACATATCATCGGTTTAGGGACCATTTCTCATAAAGTAAGTCTATGGTAAAATCAAAACAGTAGTTTGACCCTAGCTTGTTCTGGTAAATAGAAAGTTCGCTGTTTTCTTTTATTAACATACGTGTGTGGGTATATATTGATAACTGTTACAATAGAGAAAATACTATGCTAAGATGCATTTAATTGTTCACAAAACAAAAAGTAAACGTCATTTTTAACGACATATTATTGATTTTCATGTGAAACTGATTATTATAAGGTTATGAAGTAGGGATATCCCCGGGAACCTTTGATTTCATGATTTCAGTCACGGGCATAAATTGATAAAGTTTTTTAATAAGCTTGTTTAATAGATTCTTCAATAAAGACCATTTCGGTAGTACATTTTCACAATTAAACTATCTTAAATTCTATGAATTAAATTATAACAAATGATTTTTGAAAATTAACAGCTAAAATGAAAGTACGTTGATTAAAAATGCATACGATCCCGGCAGGATTCGAACCTGCAATCTCCTGATCCGTAGTCAGGCGCCTTATCCATTGGGCCACGGGACCTGTATGTGTTAGCAACTTTACTTTTACCAAAAAGCTAAACTAAACTTTTACCAAAAAGCTAGTGCCATGTAACAATCAAGATATATTGAAGTTAGGGCTGCATTCCACTACCTTAATGTATTGTCATAAATTATAATATTGTATGAATTCAATCAGCTGTCGCGATAGCTTTGTAGTAAGTAATTAGGTGTAAGTACACGTAAAAACAGAGGAATAATAAGTAATGAACATGGTTTATCATCCGTGAGCCGTACATATAAGTATAGTTTGTATGTTTTTCGATTATGAATGACTAAGAAAAAATCTCTTTTAATTCACATATCTTAAATGCTGCAAAATAAATAAAGTACTTTATAAAGCGAAATACTGAAGCATTTATACTGTTGAGTTGAAACTATTGATCGGTTAAAGAAATAATCCTTGTATCATTATTGTTGTTTATTGTGGAATTTATGGTGTTCGGAGATCACGTGTGTTATAATCAAATCACGATGTTGTTAGTGAGAGTGGTTCAATCCAAACACGTGAAACACGTGCTATTATAAATGCCATGATGTGACATTGCGGCAGACATATTATATTAATTTCTAATTCAGTTTCATATTGTGACAAGAAAGCTTCATTATTTTAGCTTACTTTCCCAATTCAAATTACAGAAAAACAAGTACTAAATTAGATAAAAAAAAACTATATGTATATCATGGTACTAAGTATGTTTAATACGTAGGCATATTTATCTAACATTATAAAAGCAAGGGCTACAAAAGTCAATTACTGATACATTGTATTACAAACGGCATAAACGTAAATACAAAAAAAAATTAAATTCATCTAATAACCATTTCTGTAAAAACATAGAAAACGGGGTCATATGCTTTATTATATTTTTTGTCTAATTGTAAAATTCAAAAAGTCTTGTTGATCAACTATTTAATCAAAACGACCATTTACATCGTTCACAACTGATTACATGTACAATAGCACTGTCTGGTCATTCCTTCCGTTCATGGAAATTATAGTTTCATTATTTTAAAGTTTTAACGTAGAATTTTCATTTATTTATTTATTTATTTATTTATTTATTTATTTATTTATTTATTTATTTATTTTACTTGAAATATAAAGATAAACGTAATATCAGATTGTTTTTAATGTTGCAGCACAATCGGCTAAGATTTTATTAACTTTCCTAATTAAGAACGTATGCAAGAGAAATGTTAACGTACAAAACCATATCCAAGCATTATAACGAACATACAATGGACGTTGCTTTCTATTCTATTACAAAGTAACGTGTGACCCCCACCACCCGTGGTCATTATCAATCATTATTCTCATAGTAGGTTAGATAATGGTCAGTAAATTATCAGATCTATATCTAATACTGATCATTCTTGATCTTTCGCGATGACTTGCTTTTAGTGGGCATTTGTTTCTGGGTCAGACACTCACGTTAATTTTCCCTATAAGAAATGTTCCCTAATCCTACCTTAAAATTGAGTTTTCGTCAATCTCTTGAATCTCAAGTGAAAGACCTCACAGGTCGTCTTGATGAAGCTGAAACAGCATCTTTGAAGTCTGGACAGAAGGCAGTTGCAAAGCTGGAAATAAGGGTGATTACATGTATATGCATGTGTTATCTAAACATGAATACATTTAGTAGATTTAATTCAACTCGTTTTTTCATTTTATTTCTACACTATGATATTACCATATAAGTATTTTTTTCTGTTCTGCGGTTTTTCCAAATTTTTCGGTGGACTTTATTTCTGCGGCACACTCTTTGGACAAAACGTGATTTAGATTCTGCGGCTCATTTTATCAAGGTCTAAGTTACATTTCTCTACCTATAACGTTTGCATGTACATATTCGCATTTGTTTATCGCAAAACGGTACTGTAATTAATACTCGCGTGCAAACAAATATAATGGGTAGCAATAGAAACGTATACATCTTTTGATCAGCGTGAAATGACGCGTAAAAATATTCCCCAGTTATATCTCTAATTTAAAAAGAAATGATAGAAACGTAAAGCAGACGACAATTAAAGTATAAGACGATTATTTTGCAGTACAATGGTTAAAATGGTTTGAATGATTTAGCTGTTAACAACCATTTTAGCATACCGGCAAACACTATATGTGACGTTTAAATATCTTTATTAATAAACTGACATTATTAACAATAAGTACATATTTACAAACACAGCTTACATACTTAGCCGATAGCAATTTTATACAACTCGATGAACCGCCAACCGTTATAATCCGTTAGTCACGGCACATGTCATAAGGTTGCAATTAGTTAATTCCTGACTAACTTGAACAGACGAGTATTATATGTGTTCAGTTTCATGTTTAATATCAACAGGTTCAGCAATTGGAAAGTGAATATGAAGCTGAGCAGAGACGTCATGTTGAAACTCAAAAGAACGCACGAAAGGCCGACCGACGCTTGAAAGAATTGGCATACCAAGTTGAGGAGGACAGGAAGAGCGCGGAAATATTACAAGATCTTGTTGATAAACTTCAGACAAAGATTAAGACATACAAACGCCAAGCTGAAGAAGCAGTAAGTGAATTATGTTATACTTTTAAGTGCTTCGTGAAGTATTGTTTTCATCAGTAGAGGAAGTGCCCTATATGTTAGCTTGCAGAATTTATAAAAATAAAAAAATTGTGATCTTAAAACATTTACAAGTATGACGCTTAATCAGCACCAAATTCCAACGCTAATTAGCAAGCTATTTAAAAAAAAGTAAGGCAATAGTTCTTGTTTTTAATTTGTAAAACATTTTGTTTCTGTAGGAGGAGGTCGCAGCTATTAATCTCGCCAAGTTCCGTAAGGTTGCCGAAGAGCTTGAGGACGCTGAGTCACGTGCTGACTCCGCTGAAAACATGGTGTCTAAATTCAGGGTACAGAGTAGAAGTTTCTCTGCAGCTGCAGCCACAGGCAGTAGTAGCCATACTGTTGTAAGTATTCAGGGCAGTCGAAGCCAAACTCCTGTAACTATTCAGGGCAGTAGTAGTCGTACTGTAAGTATTCGTACTGAAAATTAGATACCGCAGGTCAGGGCAATACTGACAAAATTGTTGTATTTTTTCCAGGGCAGTAGTAGCCATATTGTTTTAAGTACCTAATCTTTGGCAGTAGTGCCTACATTGTTGTAAATATTCAGGGCCGTTGTAGTCATACTTTTGTTAGTATTCAGGGTAATTGTAGCTATACTGTTTTGCAAAGTAAGTAATTACGGCATGCCAGGGCAGTAGTAAAATTATTATTCTATGTGTTCAGGGCAGTTGTAACTATCCTTATTACAGGCCGATAGTAGTTATTCTGTTGCAAATATTCAGAGAAGTGGTAGCCATACTATGGTACTGGTAGTCATACTGCTAGGCAAGAACCCAGGACAGTAGTAGCAATACTGTTGTTTAAAATCAATAAACACCGCGGCTGAGGCCAATAGTAGCAGTATTATTGTATGTACTCAGGCCAATATAGTAGCCACAAAATTTGTATTGCAACACTTCTGGGCACATATATGATAACTGTTCATTTAATGATAAATAGTGATGCAATCGTGCTATATCATTGCATAGCCTTTTTGGTCATTGCTGTGCAATAAATAATATGAAAAGATACAAATAACTCATTGTATCATATGGATAAACTAATATTATAAATACGTTTGTTTTCAGATCAAGACATCATTCACCAGCGCAGAAATGTAAACAATTTTTACACTTAGAGGTAACTATTTCTATGACGTAGATACCATTTTACGTTGTTTCAAGAATGTCCTACCTTAACGATGGCAACAAGTTATCTTGATATTATCTACAACAAAGATTAAGTTAATCTAATTTATCATGATGAATATCAAGTTTAGGTTCGGACCTATCCACTTGACAGACTCTATCTGTATATCCAAGAAAAGATAACTAAACAGTACTAAAGACGGCCACTACTTCTTGTTACTTCCCTTTACTCGTTATATTCTAGACGGCATAAATTTTCCTCTTTTTGATTTTGTTGCAAACCGACGATCTGCGTACTGTTATTATTATTATTAATTATTATTATTATTATTATTATTATTATTAAGCAATTGTTTTGGATTATTATGCAAATTATATGATTTTAAATACTTTTAATTTTATCTGTCATTGAATGTCTATTTTATAGTTTTATCAAAGAAATGAAACTGGATTTTGCTATTGATGACTGACATCTCAGAATGATCTCTGCTTGAGAGACGGGTTTAAAGTTTCACTTGACCTTTGAATAAGCAAACAGTAATAATAACAATACACGTTACTTTATTAGACATATGAGACTATTTGGCAAGCAAGCATTCCAACATTATTTTGGTTAATGTATATTTATTAGAATAATCGTATTATGTGTTTCACAATTTTGACTAGACAATATAAGAACGTTATTATAATATATGTGATTATTTCAGGAAAATAGCTATGTTGCCCACAGCTTGACCCTTTACCTGTGCAATCACTTCGTCTTGTGAGGGTGATGACATTAAATTCCTGGAGAAAACGGCAAACCAGTTGTAGATTCTGTTTCCATGACTACACTCCTGTATTCTCGTGTTATGAACTTGTGTTATTTTTTACTTATATTAACATAGAAAACAAGTGTTATCAGTGGAATAGTTTAAAATATTGTGGTTTTGGACTGTTTTAACAGGTACATTACGTAACAAGTTGTTTGGAAGGTACAGACAGACAGACAGACACTTGATAAGATCCTATAATAGGATCGTCAATGATCCCTCATTGGGCGAAGAACTAGCTGTAGAATATTATATGTAGTTGTAGAGTTTGTGATAAAATTTGTAGTTGTGTATTTGCTCGTCAACTGTTTCTGTATTGCTAGCATGGTATTAAAAAAATAATGAAATGTACAAGAAAACGAACAGTTTGTTTTCCTTATTATTATTGTTGTTATAATTGTTGTTGTCTCGTGAATGTGTACGATGTTTGGTGCAGCAGAATAAAGTCACGACGATTATTAAACGTTGTCTGAGTTCCAGTCCACATGTTCTGTCATTGGCTGCCGATATAACTACATTTATCACGTCAGGCAGCAAATTACAATTAACCGATCTCCTTGAAATAATAAAAAAATACAGTTCTGCTTGAGTTTATAAACATTATATGTTTGAACCAATGAACAAATAATTAATTGCACGATTCAACATTTTTAATCTTTTACATTTGTCAGTAGCTATAACATGTATCACTGTAAGATACAATAGAATATTTAGTGATTGGGTGAACATCTTATGTTTCTAAGTATGTAACCTATCATAAAAAACTAGCACTTTATTGTTTTTTTAAGAACGTTAAAGATTTCATAATTCTATATAACAATTTGTCACTTATATATGTGTCAGGTATTTCATTCTCCTAGAAAAAACATATCATCGGTTTAGGGACCATTTCTCATAAAGTAAGTCTATGGTAAAATCAAAACAGTAGTTTGACCCTAGCTTGTTCTGGTAAATAGAAAGTTCGCTGTTTTCTTTTATTAACATACGTGTGTGGGTATATATTGATAACTGTTACAATAGAGAAAATACTATGCTAAGATGCATTTAATTGTTCACAAAACAAAAAGTAAACGTCATTTTTAACGACATATTATTGATTTTCATGTGAAACTGATTATTATAAGGTTATGAAGTAGGGATATCCCCGGGAACCTTTGATTTCATGATTTCAGTCACGGGCATAAATTGATAAAGTTTTTTAATAAGCTTGTTTAATAGATTCTTCAATAAAGACCATTTCGGTAGTACATTTTCACAATTAAACTATCTTAAATTCTATGAATTAAATTATAACAAATGATTTTTGAAAATTAACAGCTAAAATGAAAGTACCTTGATTAAAAATGCATACGATCTCGGCAGGATTCGAACCTGCAATCTCCTGATCCGTAGCCAGGCGCCTTATCCATTGGGCCACGGGACCTGTATGTGTTAGCAACTTTACTTTTACCAAAAAGCTAAGCTAAACTTTTACCAAAAAGCTAGTTCCATGTAACAATCAAGACATATTGAAGTTAGGACTGCATTCCACTACCTTAATGTATTGTCATAAATTATAATATTGTATGAACTCAATCAGCTGTCGATAGCTTTGAAGTAAGTAATTATGTGTAAGTATACGTAAAAACAGCCGGAAGATGGTATATCATCCGTGAGCCGTACATATAATTATAGTTTGTATGTTTTTCGATTGTGAATGACTAAGAAAAAATCTCTTTTAATTCACATATCTTAAATGCTGCAAAATAAATAAAGTACTTTATAAAACGAAATACTGAAGCATTTACTATTGATCGGTTAGAGAAATAATCCTTGTATTATTGTTTATTGTGGCATTTATGATGTTCGGAGATCATGTGTGGTATAATCAAATCACGATGTTGTTAGTGAGAGTGGTTCATCACAAACATGTGAAACACGTGCTATTATAAATGCCATGATATGACATTGCGGCAGACATATTATATTAATTTCTAATTCAGTTTCATATTGTGACAAGAAAGCTTCATTATTTTAGCTTACTTTCCCAATTCAAATTACAGAAAAACAAATTCTAAATTAGATTTTAAAAAAAAGTATATGTATATAATGCTATGTTTAATACGAAAGCATGTTTATCTAACATTATAAAAGCAAGGGCTACAAAAGTCAATGACTAATACGGCATAAACGTAAATACCAAAAAAAATTATTCATCTGATTACCATTTCAAACGGGGTCATATGCTTTATTAATTTTTATCTAATTGTCTTGTTGATCAACTATTTAATCAAAACGACCATTTTCATCGTTCACAACTGATTACATGTACAATAGCACTTTCTGTTCATTCCGTCCGTTCATCAAAATTATAGTTTCATTATTTTAAAGTTTTAACGTAGATTTTCATTTATTTAATTTATTTAATTTATTTAATTTATTTATTTATTTATTTATTTTCCATGAAATATAAAGAGTAACGTAGTATCAGATTGTTTTTAGTGTTGTAGCACAATCGACTAGGATATTTCTAACTTTCCTAATTAAGAACGTATGCAAGAGAAATGTTAACGTACAAAACCATATCCAAGCATTATAACGAACATACAATGGACGTTGCTTTCTATTCTATTACAAAGTAACGTGTGACCCCCACCACCCGTGGTCATTATCAATCATTATTCTCATAGTAGGTTAGATAATGGTCAGTAAATTATCAGATCTATATCTAATACTGATCATTCTTGATCTTTCGCGATGACTTGCTTTTAGTGGGCATTTGTTTCTGGGTCAGACACTCACGTTAATTTTCCCTATAAGAAATGTTCCCTAATCCTACCTTAAAATTGAGTTTTCATGCTAAAGAGCTGACTTTTCTAGCAGAATGAAATGCTTGACACAAAAAAATGTTCCTGTTATATAGGGGTAGCCAACCATTTTTATTTTTTTTTTGCAAAATGACTTCAAAGAGGATTACATTTCATTGAAATTTTCTGCTGATCACAGGACTGATGTACACTTTTTATAAATGCAAATATCCAAGTCAAAAATTATCATACAGACTCGTGAAATATTTCATTTTCTTTAGAAAACAATGTAGTGTTACTGTCTAAATTTAAACACCCCCATTTTCATTCAATCACCGCATGTCCAATTAGATCATACGGTTTTCCCTGTTTTTCAGCCAATCGCTGGCCATGTTACAATGCGAGACCCTGACCTCTGGATAGATTGTGACAAAATAGTACACATTTTTGATTCGTGACAAAAGTAACATATTACAAAATGTAGTTGTATTTTTTATAGTATTAGATGATTGTTGTAAGAATATTAATGGCTAACACTAACGAAATCGATAGAAATTATCTTAAAATGCTCGCCGAGGTGAAAATAATCTGAAACATTTACTGACAATAGTTGTGTTGATGATAAGAGATGATAACTGATAAACACAGCTGTGTGTTGATGTGTACTCGCATATTGTTATGTAACACGAGGTGATATAGAAATTTCTGTTTTTTTAGTCAGGCTACTGATAATCGCTGTGTCTTCATCTAATAATCATAAAATGTTAAAATAATTTCAACATACAGCATGCATAGTTAATTGTAAATGCATTCATAGTCAAAAAATAACTTATTGTATGAAAACAAAATAAACAAGAACCAAGTACCTGCTAAAACTAAACGTGTCAGTAAAATATGTAAAAAATCTTTTAAAGCTGTAACTTTATAAACGAAATATTAAAATACTCGATCTCGTCAGGATTCGAACCTGCAATCTCCTGATCCGTAGTCAGGCGCCTTATCCATTGGGCCACGAGACCATTTCGATAAAATATGTCAGTAACAATGTGTTAAATGTTTATTACTGTTGGAATTTTTGTAGATTTTTTAAAGTGGTACAAGGTAGTAAGAGAAATCCCAGTAACACAGTTTACTAAAACAGCATCATTATCATGTCTGTATGTAAAATCAGTAAAGTAATACCTAAATAACTTATGGAAAATGTCCAATCTTCATCGTTCAAAGGCAAAGTATAATGATTGTTGACGAATAAACAATTAAGAAACCATTATAAGTCGGACACGATAACGTTTTCATTATTCGATGGTGTGGAAAGTAACTGCAAGTTATTTAATAATTACATTTTGCACATTTATTGCAATAAAACAGAATAAAAGTTGGTATACACACATTAACCCGAGTAACGTAGCAAGTACTTGGTTAGAGCTTTCAGGTTATGAAAATGGTTTTTCGAGTTCGAATCTGCTATCGCGTACATTTTTTTCAGTATGAATTTTAATTTCCAAATACCCTAAATATTTTTCACGTGATTGTTCATTTTCTCCTTTATAATCGTTTTATCATCACTTTGTTTCATTTTAATCAAAACGAAGAAAATAAATTAAAGAAATTAATGTACATCATTATACAGAACTGAGTACTATTTTAACTCTTATATTCATTGCCCGCATTTTCAACAATTTTGTTAAATTTGTATGTGTCAATTTTCTATGAAATGTACGAGCGGAGGAACTGAAATCGAGAGAATTGCAATATAACTAAAACAAAAAATATTGTAAGATAAAATGTCTTTTTCAGGATTCGAACCAGGGTCTCTACACTTACGTTACCTCTACGCTGTTCCTCTTTGTAACGATTCAGGTTGTTAGGAATTTTTGACACCCTTATCTGTCAATATTAATGTAAACAGATAATGAAAGGAATAGTGAATAGTGAGCTATACATGTATGTAAGTGTCAATACTGATATATGTGTTAAAATATTTTATCGCCATCTGAATGTAAAATACTATGATATAATTTCATGATGTTTTGTTATCAATTGTATCCGGAATGTAAGATAGAAGGAATATTCGATTTCGGGAGGATTCAAACCTGCAATCTCCTGATCCGTAGTCAGGCGCCTTATCCATTGGGCCATGAGACCGTTTTGATGTTAGATATAGCAATACAATATTTATATTGTGCAATCATCTATCAAACTGTAATGTGTTCATATACCAAGCACGTTTCGCACTTAGCACTGTAAATGTATTAAAATGATTTCTTTTAAGTGAGATAACAGATAAGTTCAAAGCACACCAGCAAAGCGTTTAATTCGGACATTGTTGTTACCTTACAAAGAGAGGTGTAAAAAAAAGCATAAAAGTAACACAGTCTACCAAAACCTGTATATACAATCACAAAATATTTTACGTGAAAAAAAAATCATTATTGCAATTTACGTTAATTATTACCTAAAATAGCTTGACAATAGCTCGTTCATATGTAAATTATTAATAATGGTTCCAAAAACAAAATGAAGAATCAAGTAACTATTCTTTTAAATATTTTAAGGCCACTAGTATTTGAGGTCATA